GGAAGCTCATCCTGGTTTCTCATCGGGTTGTTTGCAGGGACTGCAATCCTTCCATGTGGAATTGATCAGAATAAAAGTCAGGAGATGGGATTTGAAGAGAGGAACAGTCCTGGAGGCTTGTTGCTGGAAGAGAGAGAAGCAGCATGCCCAACGTGGCGTTTTTTAATGCTCAGAGTTGGTCTGCTCCTTCCCTGGAATCTGATCATCAGAACCTCTGGCATTTCAGTGTGGTTGGTAGCAATGGCTTGAATGTCAGAAAAGTGTCCTTTTCTCAAGGGCTGGATTATTTCATCCTCCCAGGCTGAGTGAGTGTTAAGTTCTGGAGCTTAGCTGAGGCTTGGAAGAAACATTTCTGATACCATCTCCCTATCAGCCTTCCCCACCTGGCACCTGAAACTGGGCATTTCAGCTGCTGTTGGGTTTGCATTTGGAACCAGAACAAAGGACTTCTGTAGGGGCTGTTTGGATTGGACTGAAGGAAGGATGTTGTTCCGGTGGCCATTTGATGCCAGGAACAATTCAAGCACAAATGGTGCAGAAAGAGTCATCTCCAGCAGTAAAATAAGTTCAACTGTGTGGTTAAATCTGAGATAGTTGGCCTCCGCGGAGGGTTGTTTGACTTGACATTCAAAACCTACAATCAGCAAGGCTTGTTTGTAAACTCGGCTACAACCTAATGTCCAACTTTGCAACTTAGGAAATGTCTGTTGGTATTTTGCCACATCCCAAGTTTGCAGTGTACCGTAGGATGTGTTTCTCATCCAGCTCTTAAGAAATACAGGGAGAATGTTTTTTGGTTTCCCCTCCCTCTCTTTTGCCTTCTGGAGGTGCAGCTCCTCTTCTGTTTCAATGAAAGGATCTGCCAGAAATTTCACAATGCAAAGTAAGCCATAATTAAATTTGAAATGGTGTCTTTATTAAACAAGGGAGCTACGCAGAAAGTAACTGTCTAAAATAAATCGGGGGCAACTGTGAAGTATTTTTCTTTCACGCGTGGAGGAAGAAAGTAGGAGATGGAAGAATTTTGGCTACTCCGAGTTTCTACGTGAGAGCGAATTTAGAAAAGAGCCGGCAGCGACTTGCTGCAGCGCCTCAGTTTTTTGGAGGCACGCTCCAGATGTGCTCTTCCACAGGTGCCTTTCGTTTCAGGGGCTCGGTGCAGGTGGCTGCCAGGATGAAGCAGTTCGCCTACAGTCTACCCTTCTTCAACCCACAGGCGCGCCAGCTTTCACGTCCACAGATCCAACCACCGTGGTTCTTGGGAACTGTAGTCCACAATTGTAGTCCAATTAAATATGCCAAGCTGGGGAAGGCTGATATATATTATTTCAGAGGCCTGCCTGAAATGGGTGCCTCCGTTAGAAACTCAGAGCAGGGGTGTTTCCGCCATAGAAAGTTGCGTTTGCAGGCTCGCCCAAACCCTCAGATGCAACAGGCCAAAGAATATTGGGGGCGGGGGAGGCAATCCAAGAGGGCCATCCTCCCCCAAATAGCTCTACAAAGATTCAGTACTTAAGTTTAGAGCAGTGTTTTCCCCGTGCTGGCTGGGGAATTCTGGGAGTTGAAGTCCACACATCTTTGGGTTGCCAAGTTTGAAAAACACTGGTTCAAAGTGGGGGCAAAGGTTGAATGGGAGCATGGGTGAGAGCAGGGGATCTGAACGGGGTCAAAAAAGTCAGGATGGCTACTAGGGTTGCACAGAGCCTCGAATATTAAGCCAGTCAAATGGTTTGTGGGCTACAGCAAGCTAAATCCGAGAGAACTGACCAGGTGTACCATTGACAAAGCTTTGCAAATTATGGAGAAGTGACTTGATGAAACAGGCTGTGCCAACAGAATTCCTTCCTTCGTGTGAAATGGGAAGGCGGGGAGGAGCAGAGCTGTGAATGCAAGTCCCACGCCAGGGCAGTTCATTTTCCCTGCTGCTGGGAAAGGGTGGCATCCGGCCGAGGAGTCGGGGTGTTTCTTCCCCACAGAGAGGGTCCCTGAGTGGCGCGTTGCTGGATGTCTGCAGGGAGTTCCAGCTGAGCACTGCGTTTTGATTATTCTTCTCAAGAGAAGTTGTGCAACAGAGCAAGCTGCCAAGAGCAGTCATGGCCTCTCCCCTCTTGCAAGCACGGGCATCTGTCTGTTAGGAAGAGCTAACCAAGGGTTGTGCCTCTCCTGAGCTCTCCGTTGGCCGGGGGTTCTGCTGACTTGCCCACTCGCCCAGGGAAATTGCAGCCAGCAGGTCACACTGCAAGCAGGGTTTCCCCTCTTTTTCCTCCCCCTTCTTCTCCCCCCCCACCGCCACCATCTACACAATCAGAGGGCACCGCCTGACCAC